TCCAGCTGAGTTTTCTCGGAAGTCTTTCTTAATCTTCATCATCTCCTCTGATGTAGCAAAGACCATCATCAAGTCAATGAGAGTATTCGATACATGTTTCCTGGGATATTGTGGCATGTGTGGAAAGCACGAAATGCTTTTGTTTTTGAGAAGATAAAGTTTGATGCTTCTGCGATTCTTAACAAGGCAAAAGATGATGATGAGATATGGTTTCAAATTCATTTCGTCTAGTCCGAATGATATGCAACATATCCCTTCTGCTTCCGGTACTATATTATGGAGAAAGCCATCACCAGGAATCTTCAAGTGTAATCTTTGGGCTGCTTGGGTTAATGATCGGAGAAAATGTGGTGCTTCTTGGATTTTCCATGATCACTTGGGTCAACCTCTATTTCGTAATAATCGATCTTTCTCTACGGTGTCAACCAAACTTGAATCCGAACTCTTTATGCTTCATTGGACAGTAGAAAGCCTCAAGAACTTGCATTTTCAGAAAGTGTGTTTTGAATGCTCATCAGAGTCATTGAAAGAAAACCATCTTAAACCCAAACCAGAATCCTCGGTTTCGCTCCTTGACTCTGTCCATATTGCATAATTTAAACTCCTTTGAGTATTGGAACATCGTATCGGTACCAGTTCCAGTAATGGTATTGCCGAGACAATTGCGTCGAGTGTGACACGGGAACACTGATACCAATCGTACATTGCATGTGGTGGGCCATCTTGGCTTCAAGCTTTTTTGATTGCGGAGTCAACAAGTGTACAAGAGAGCTGCTCAATTGGAGTTATTACTTTATTGCTGGTGAGGAACCTCACCGTCTGATTGTGGAGTGGTCTTCACTTTGTTCACCCTAAATCTTTCTCTTTTCTTTTATGTAATCACCTATTGGTGTATTGTGAAACTTTGTGATTTCCTCCATGCCAACGTTTGGCAATAATAAAATGCATCTCTCAGTGTTAAAAAAAAAGTGTATACAAAACGTAATTTGAAATACCATATAGTTTATACATTCCTTTATACGTTTAGAACTCCATATGAGTGTGAC